CTGTCCAACTTTTAAGGCTTTCAACTCCCCCAGAATCCCCCCAGCCAGCAAGACCCAAGAGACTTCATCCCATGCACCCAATTTGGAAGTTGTGTGTGTTGTTTCCGGTGGTCTTTCCTCCTCCTGTGGATTCGGATCAGTAGAGGAGAAGAGACCCAGCTTTTCAATTCGCACGCACTTACACACACCCACACACACTTCTTTGCAGGGCACTCAAACTGGTGGGGAGCTTCCTCTGTCCATCAGTAGATGGAGCTGCCGTTTTGCTCTCCCGGTGGAAACCCGCAGGGCTGCTGAGTAGCCCCCCAAATCGAAAATTCGGACTCGCAGGTTTTATTCAAAGGCGCCTGCTTCGTGAGAGAGCTGCAGTCCCTGGAGGGGTGTTAAAGTAAGATAGGATTAAAATTGGGGTGGGGAAGCCCGCCCTCTCTCCTTTGGATCTTACTCTAAAGGAAAGAAACGTAATTGTCGGGAAACCTTTTCCCTGGCTGCGTTTCCAACGAATTCTGTCGAAATAATTGGAGCAAAGAGCAAATTGGAGCAACTGGGACGATGCCTTCTGTTTTTATTTCCTTCTGCATCCTGGTCTGGCTCTCTCTCCCTCCCTCATCTCCACTTTTATCTTTGTCTGTCCTCTCCTCTTTCCCCCTTGGGAACAGGAAGGCGGCTGGACCACCGGGTGCCTCCCTACCGTGCCTCCCCCCCCTCCATCCGCTGCTGGCAAGCCGGGCGGGGCCAACGAGGTGGAGCGAAGAGGGAGGTTGGCAGGCAGGCAGCTGGCCAGTCGAATAGCTGCCTGTTCCACAGCTGGTGCCCCGTTGCGGCTGCTTGCAGCTCCTCGCTTGGCTTGCCAGCATGGCCTCCTTTGCCCCGGGGGCTGCCACTCAGGAGCTGCTTCTGCCCCTGCAAGATTTGGAGAGGGCTCAGGTGAGTCAAGGAAGAACCTGCAGAGATGGCTCTGGGTTTCCCTTCTTCCCTTCCTTCCTTCCTTCCCTGGCAGTTTTCTTTCCTTCTGGGAGTTGGAAGTGCACACACATCGGAGACCGTCTGAGCTTGAGGAACTCTGGAGTAGAGACTTCACACAACCCTGAGGCTCATTAACTTGACTTTTGCACAGTATCCCACCTCGATCATGGTTTGCTGGGAACAGCTGGGTCAGTGGTAGGTCTGGGGCTTCGAAGAGTGCTAGGATCACAGGTTAAAATATAGTCACTTGGGTGAAAGATGGGCGGTACAGGCGTAGGCTGAATAAATGAATAAAAAGAGAGGAGCAAAGGGAGAGGAAGATGCACAGAGGGGATGGAGAGACCCAAAGGGTGGGCTTTTCCTTCCCATATCTCAGGTAAACAACTTGCGCAAACTTCCTGCTTTGCAAGGATTTCCCTTCTCTAATCTCTCTCTTTTCCCCCCCCCCCAACCTAGCTTTTCGCTGTCATCCACTGGATCCAAGCTGTCACGGCTACTTTGAGGTATTACAACGCAGCCTTCTCTCTTAAGACCCCCTGAGACTAATAGAGCATCTCCCAGGAGCAGGCCAGTCGGGAAATTACCTGGCTGGGGGTTTTTTAGGAAGGGTTACCAAGCATGTCTCCCTTTCCTGGGGTCCTAAATGCCGCGCGGCTGTATATCTCGAATTTGCTTTTGTTGTTTTTAATTTCCAGACGTTCTTGGACTAAACTGACTTTGCATTTGTTAGAATAAAATGTGTTGCGTTGCGTTGATGAAGGCGGGAATTTGCAGGGCTAAGGGAAGGTTCATACAAGCTCTCGTAACCTATGAAAGGTAGCCAGGTCCAGCTCCGCCAATCCGCCCCTTGTTTCCACAGCATCATGGGGTCGAGCTCAGTTATCGGCTACACCGTATTCCAGAACACGGCCAGATCCCCCGAGGTAAGAGGAATTCCTTTGCGGGTGGGGAAGAAGAGGAAGGCTAGAAGCCAGGCGGGGCCTTCCGAAGTGAGTGGGGAGGAGCAGGGATCTTCAGCAGGAGCGTTTGCGATGTTCAAGTACCTTCTCCACTTGGCTGCTAAGCAAATATTAATTTTAGGAACTGCTGGTTGAGCCATAATTTACTTTTTATTTCGCCAAACATCCATGGTTGCCCTGCAGCCCAATTAGTGTAACAACAAATTTGCAGAACCAAATCAATCTCTCCTTCTCTCTCATCTATCTTATCTATCTAATCTATATCCATCTCCTTTCCTTCCTTTCTTTATCTATCTATCTATCTATCTATCTATCTATCTATCTATCTATCTATCTATCTATCTATCTATCTATCTATCTATCTAATCTATATCCATCTTATTTCTTTTCTTTCTCTCTTTCTTTCTTTCTCTATCTAATATATATCCATCTTCTATCAATCCAATCTATATCCACATCTATCTATCTATCTATCTATCTATCTATCCACTATCTATCTATCTATCTATCTATCTATCTATCTATCTATCTATCTATCTATCTATCTATCTATCTAATTTATATCCATCCTCTTTCTTTCTTTTTCTNTAAATCTGAAATCTGAATCTTATTAAATGTATACACTGCCCATCTCTCTCTGGAAAAGTGTGTCTTGGTCTGATCCCACGTTAGGTGATCGGTGACCTGCAAACCCACTAACTCGTTGTTCCCCAAGTCTCCCGCCTGAGTTCCTTTTGCTTTTCTTCACAGATTACGGGGACAAGCAGAACATGGAGTTGGGAGAAAAATATAAACTGGATAAAGACTCTTATCCAGTTTTCTACTTGTTCCAAGATGGAGACCTGGAGAACCCTTTGCCTTACGACGGGCAGGTGAAAGCCAGCGCTCTCCAGCGCTGGCTGAAACTCCGCGGGATCTACATGGGAATGCCAGGTTGCCTGAAAATATTTGACGCCTTGGCCAGCCAATTCGTAAGTGCCGCCCAAGAGCGTCGCCAGGCCCTCTTGGAAAAGGGCCGAGAGCATTTGTCCGAGGCCAAAGAGAGCGAGCGCAAATTCGCCGAGCAATACATCAAAATCATGGGCAAAATCCTTGCCCAGGGGGACCCGTTCATCCCCGGCGAGATCTCCCGGATCACCAAGCTGATCGAGGAGACCAAGATGAGCGACGGGAAGAAAGAGGAGCTGTCCAAGCGGTTGAACATCCTGTCTTCCTTCCAAAAGAAGTCGAGCAACGAGAAGGAAGAACTCTAACAGGGCAGGTGAAGAGGGTACACGGCTCGGGGTGAGGTCCCAACTGGCGCTCCTTGAAGCAGGCAAAAAAAAACCTCCCCTTGCTGTTTCAAAGAGGTCGCAAAGCCCTTTTAATAGCCCCCCCCCTACCCATCCCGCTCCTGGGGGGCAGAGAACACCCAGCTTCACTAAGGGGACATTCAGACATTACACCATAAAACCTAACAAACAAGGCGTTTTTCAAGATCGTGAGATTTAGAACTCGACTTAACTCGGAGCCTTAGCAAGCTGGGTTGGTTCCCCTCCTCCCCCCCCACTCCTTGTTGGTTGGAATTTGAACATCCTAGGAATGGGGCTAGTCCTCTAGGTGTGTCTGTGTGTGATGGAGCACCATTTGGTCCAGGGGAAATGTGTTAGCCCAAGCTACACCTGTCTCTTACTGACCAGTATTCACCGAAATCAGTTTTATGGGAAGGGTACTTAATTTGATAATAATAATAAAGGTTACTGGGGAAACGAAGACACAAAGGCATCATTTTTCTCTCTTATCACAACTTCCTGAATAAAATGAATCTTCCTGGTTGAGCTTCGAAGAACTGAGATTTTGTTTGACGTTTAAAAGTTGCACTTGAAATTGTCAACGTGCGGGTTTATATCTTTCGACCCTTCATTCAGTCTTTGTTCATACACAAGCCTGCACTCACACAAACACATACCTTTTTTTAAAGTTTTTATTTTTATTTTTACAATAGCAGTTAGACTTATATACCGCTTCCTAGGGCTTTCATCCCTCTCTAAGCGGTTTACAGAGTCAGCATATCGCCCCCAACAACAATCTGGGTTCTCATTTTACCCACTTCGGAAGGATGGAAGGCTGAGTCAACCTTTGAGCCGGTGAGATTTGAACAGCCGAACTGTAGAACTACAGTCAGCTGAAGTAGCCTGCAGTGCTGCATTTCACCACTGCTCCACCTCGGCTTTTTCCATTTTCATAACATAAAATCACATGTAAACTATTACATAGCCAACATCATATTGTATTATTAAATGTTTACATCAATTCACCTTACCGTCAACTCCCCAAAAACACTTATTGGCTCTTCTGCTCTCCATACACCATATTTGAACCTTATCCATCACTTTCTTCTCCCTCTCTCATCCCCCTCCCTCCCTACCACCTTTCTTCTGTCATCCTTCTCTACTTCCCCTTCCTCTCTCCTCCTCTCTCCCCTTTCCTCTCCTCCTTTCTCTCCTCCTCTTCCCCCTCCGCCCTCTCTCCTATCCCTCTCTTCTTCCCTTACCTCTCTCCTTCTCCTCTCTTCCCTTTTCCACTCCTCCTTTCTCTCCTCCTCTTCCCCCTCCTCTCTCCTCTCCTTCTTCCCTTACCTCTCTCCTTCTCCTCTCTTCCCTTTTCCACTCCTCCTTTCTCTCCTCCTCTTCCCCCTCCTCTCTCCTCTCCTTCTTCCCTTACCTCTCTCCTTCTCCTCTCTTCCCTTTTCCACTCCTCCTTTCTCTC